AAATCACGCTAAAGGAAATTGAGATTTTGAAGTGGCTAAGATGAGAAAATATAAGCCATTAAATAAATGCTTTTTGAAAAGTTAACTATTGATTTGTATCAAAAATAATGTTAAACCCCAACTTAACCCTATACCAAAAATTGAAGATGCTCAAGTATCTTAACTATAGAAAGGATATGACAGTGCTTGATTGGAATATGAGAAAATAGTTTTATAATGAGAGACATATAGGCTTACTACTTAATTTTTAGAACTGTAAACTTTGGATTTGGCAATATAAAATTTTAAATCAGTATAGTAAAACATAAAAGATGAAATATAAGATGCAGGTTTGGAATAAATATCTGTAGAATATTTATTAAATAAATAAATTATCATCCATTGTATATGAATTCCTTTGGAAATCTATACAAAATCCCCAAACAATGTAAGAGCAAAGTGTGCAGAGCATGTTAATGAAAAATTTATGGTAGGCCACACAAATGTCCAATAAGTACCTGAAAAATGCTCAGACTCATTGAAAATGAGTTAAAAGGAAATTGTTTTACATCAGTCAATACTGTTTGTTACATATTATATTGGAAAAATTAAAGGATGGATGATATTTAGTATTGAACATGAATGGAAATTAAGACAGGAAAATAAACAAATCATCTTTTGAGGTCTACTTATGCATAACTAAATTTTAAATAGACATAACCTTTTATTAGAAATTCCTTTTAAGGGATTCAAACAAAAGAAAAGTTTGTACATGTGCCCAGCTATGATCTGTGAAAGGGTATCAGGGTAACACATTTTAAGATAATTTTTTTTTTTTTTTTCCCAGACAGTGTCTCACTATTGTTGCCCAGGCTGGAGTTCAATGGCTTGATCTCAGCTCACTGCAACCTCTGCCTCCTGGTTTCAAGCGAAACTCCTGCCTCAGCCTCCTGAGTAGTTGGGATTACAGGCGCCTGCCACTATGCCTGGCTAATTTCTGTTTGTTTTTTTTTTTTTTGTTTTGTTTTTTTGAGACGGAGTCTCGCTCTGTTGCCCAGGCTGGAGTGCAGTGGCCGGATCTCAGCTCACTGCAAGCTCCGCCTCCCGGGTTCACGCCATTCTCCGGCCTCAGCCTCCCGAGTAGCTGGGACTACAGGTGCCCGCCACCTCGCCCGGCTAGTTTTTTGTATTTCTTAGTAGAGACGGGGTTTCACCGTGTTAGCCAGGATGGTCTCAATCTCCTGACCTCGTGATCCACCCGTCTCGGCCTCCCAAAGTGCTGGGATTAATTTCTGTATTTTTAATAGAGATGGGATTTCACCATGTTGGCCAGGCTGGTCTCCAACTCCTGAGCTCAAGTGATCCTTCTGCCTCGCCCTCCCAAATGCTGGGATTACAGATGTGAGCCACTGCACCTGGGCAAGAGAAATTTTTAAAAGCCATAAACCTGTTCATCCATAGGAGAATGTTTGATTGAACCATGGTACATCTCCATTAGGGAATATCCTGTGCCCTTTACAAAAAATGAAGTAGATTTATGATAACGTGGCAGTATATTCACAAATTTTTGTTCCATGAAGGAATATATATAGATTTTCATTTGCAAAGAGTACTTATACTATGAGCTTTTTTTTTTTTGTTAAAACATCCGTATGATGGTGTGTATAGAATATGTACTAACTGCATAGAGAAAAGACCTGGATGGTTATTCAAATATTATATCTGATGAACAGAAAAGAACGTATTGAGGAATAGTGAAGCTGATATTTAAACTTTACCGTGTACACTCTGAGATTTTTTTGATGTTAATGGAATGTAACAATTTTAAATATGACAAGTGGAGTGGAGAAAAACAAGAGATATGTTTGAGTTTTACTTGTGTTTGATTTTTAAATTTAGATTGTAGATTTTACATAAATTAGGTGTTCTAGGACAAACTCTCCTAAACATTTAGTTGGCCTTAATAGCTACAGCAATTAAAATGAAGTCACTTTTCAAATTAACCTTTCGATGACATTACAGATTGAAATAAGATGAGTTTATTCTAACAAGGCTTTAAGGCATGTCCTTTGCATATGTGTTTCTATGAGAGAGCTCAAAATTGCAAAGTGTCTGAATCAGAATGGCCATGAGGGAATATGGACCTACACATCTTCTGAAGTGTTGGAGAAATTACAAAAACCAAACAGAAATTACTCACCTTGTGAAAAAGTAATCTTTAAGTGTTACAGATTTCCCTGGATCTTGAAAATAACTGTATTGCATTTCATCTTGCCTGAACTTGTAACTCACAACACATGCTTTGTGTTTTTTTTTTTTTTTGAATCCTATGAAAACTACTCACTCTAATGTAAAAGCAAATCTGTTATATCTGTACATGGTTTTCATTTATGTGTTTATGCTAACAAGTAGACTATAATAACGGATTTGTCATGTTGGCTGCCCTTTCTAGCCTTCAATATGAAATAGCATATATTCAAAATAATTTTAGTGAAATAATTTAATTATACACAAGTTATAAAATGTGCTTTCCTAACATTATATGAACAGGGACTTTAAATCTTTTTTTTAATAGTTTACAATCATTGTTTTAAAATGAGTGTTTAAAAAAGTATGTTTAATCCTTGTCTTTTATTTTCTTTGTAATTAGTTAAGTGCTATTTTTTAAAAATCTTAACTACTGAATTTCACAATCTTTAAAACTTATAGACAGCACTAGTATGTCTCAGCAGAATAGAAACGTACCTGAATATATTATAAATTCTGTACTGAAGGGGCCACTTAAAACATTTTATTCATACATTTATTCATTTTATTCATACTGTTTTCTTCATATGTTTATCATGGTGAATCACAATAAATAAGAGAGAAAAGATTGATATATTACAGAGAAACGTACAAAGATTTTTTTTTTTTTTTTTTTTTTTTTACTGGTACAAAAGTCAAGTAGGCATGATACTATTCTTTAATCAGTTACTTGGGCATATTGTCACGTGTTTTGTAGATGGAATAGTTTGTTAAAACATAGAAATTATAGAGATATCCTCCTTATTCTTCTCACTTTTCACTCTTTTTGCTTTTCCTAATCTTTAGAACTCTTTTTTTTTTTTTTTTTTTTGAGACAGGATCTCGCTCTGTCGCCCGGGCTGGGGTGCAGTGGCCGAATCTCAGCTCACTGCAAGCTCGGCCTGCCGGGTTCACGCCATTCTCCTACCTCAGCCTCCCGAGTAGCTGGGAGTATAGGCGCCCGCCACCAAGCCTGGCTAATTTTTTTTGTGTGTTTTTTTTTTTTTAGTAGAGACGGGGTTTCACCATGTTAGCCAAGATAGTCTCGATCTCCTGACCTCGTGATCTGCCCGTCTCGGCCTCCCAAAGTGCTGGGATTACAGGCCTGAGCCACCGCGCCCGGCCTCTTTAGAACTCTTATTCAAAAAATTTAGACAATTCTAAATTAGTTACTGTTACTAAAGAATTTCCCTGACTTTAAAGGAAATGTTCATTTATGTACCTAAAAGTTATAATGTATGATAATCTGGTTTGGGCACAATTATAGGCATTTGACATCCCTTTAGTCTTTGTGAATCTTTCTAGAATAATATGAGTGCAACAACTTTTCTGATAATGCTCCTATCAATCTACTATAGATGTTACTTTATAGCAGATTATATTTAGTTTACTGTAAATATAGCCTATCTTAGACAGATTGCACTGTGCTGTTGTGAGTTTCTCCCTGTGCTATTCCAGCTGTCTTCTTGAATTTCTGAAATATTAATAACCAGCATTTGGAATAAGGTAATTTACATGAAAAAACACATTGTATGAATTGTATGATTTTCGCTCCTTCCATATTATGCTACTCAACCTATATGGTTATGGCCTGCTTTTCTGAATTGGAGAGTAATTGCGAAGCGGTTATAAGGTCATTTTGTAAATAAGATACAAGGCATTGGTAATGTGCATATTCTGACTTCAATTTGATGTCTTTCAGTAAACTTGTAGCCTCGGTGTTGGCATATTAATAGGAAACGTGTTGATTTGGCCTTACAAAATATTCTCTTTCAAGCTCTAGTTTAATGATTGGCTATTACTTGTGACTTAGAAAAACCTGTGTAAAATAAACAAACAGCAATAGAAGAAACCATATTTTGGCATGTTTTTAAGTAAAAGTGAATAGAGTCAAAGCAAGGAATATTACATATGTGGCATTTTGTGCAAGTAGGAAACAGTCCCATTCGCACTTCCAAAACATTAAAGAGAAAAGAATCACAGCTTTGCAAAATACTTTGTATATATATCACTTTTCAGAAGTCTAATGAAACATTTTACATATTATATAGTATACTCTTTAAGGGAATTACAAAAATTGCTACTTTTTTTTTTTTTTAAAAAAAAGATGTTCCACTAAAAGAAAAATATTAAAAATGATTTCAGATGGTGTAGGACTCCTGGCTGGGCAGATGGATTCTACCATATAGTTTTTGATGAAAATATGGTCAATATCAAGAATAAATTTTAAGATACGTTAGGAATTTGTATGCACTAGATTGCTCCATGTGGATAGATTTATATTATACAGTTTAAGAAGAATTACCAATTGCAGTCAGGTAAACTAAACTTTGAAAATATTAAACAGTTTCAAAATTTTAATCCAAGCTCATTAAATGATTCCTGCACCTTTTCTAGTGCCCTTTACTAATAATGACAAAGGGGGCAATCATTTATTTTGCCAGTGACTGGGGCCTTGAAACAATTGAGTCCATACTAATAAGCTAGAAACCTTATTTCTCTAACCATGGAAGAGAAAACATGTATAGAGGGTAAATTTATTCCTGTTATCATGACTTCTCAATTAAATCCCAGCTCCAGTATCTGCACAGTTAATGTCACCTCAAAACTGTTTTTACTACTTAGCCACTAATGTGGTCATCATTTTCCAGTCTCAAATGAATATTTTCACCTCACCTTGAAATATAAATATTATTATATGTAATATAAATATATCAAACATATTAGGTACATTAGTGACTAAGAAAGTTTTCCTTCTTTTTTTTTAACAAGTAAACTTAAACATGTTTATCTGGTGGATTGTGTGTTTGTGACTGTGTGTAGAACGTATGTGGCTTGAACACATGTATTTCCTTTCTCCTAATCTATTTGAAGTATGCAACATCATCCTAAAGAGAGTTTCTATGAAGGCAAAATTAATCTGAATTTTAACTTTTCTCTCCATGACTTTGATCCCTATAGCACAACTGACTTCAACAGTAGTTTCAAGATAAACTTATAGTGTTAAACCCTTCTTGACGGTGACCCTGTCAAATCTCTTGCAGTTTCTCAGAGCTCCTGTGCTTTCTCCTGATCTTCACACTTTGCATATAATATTTCCTGTGTCTGGATTACCCTTTTCATATGGTTAACTCTTACTTATCTTTTAATACTCTGCTTTTGACATTATATTAATAAATTCCCCAACTACTTTAAATGGATCTTCTGTGGGAGGTAATAGCAGGCTTCTTCCAAAGCACTGAGTTACATTTTCCTATGATTTAAGGGAGGGACCATACCTTTTATTTTATTTTATTTTTTTTTAGTCCTCGACACTTAGGAAGGGCTCGGATGGATACTAGTAATTTAATTAATTACTTGATTATCCAATTAATATAGTAAATATTTATGCACTATTTATATCTATGGTTTAAATATTTGCAATTGAAGTTTATATACACATATAAATAGCCCCTGTCACTCAACTGCTGCTGCAAATCAAAGAGCATGGGATTTTCTCATGCGTGGAATTCATAAGTTTATTTTAGTCAAAGAAATTTGAAGTAAGCCATTTTCTTATTATAATTTTTCCATAAGTGCAAGATTTATATATTTTTTGTAGCTGCAGAATGATAAGATAGTACTTAATGATTCATATTATTGCTATCTTATGGTATAAGATTTAGGGGATTATCTGTGAAACTTTATATACATTAATTCACTGGCATCACATACTGAGTACTAACTTGGCTTATTTCCCTATCATTTCTTCCCACCTCACAGTAGGCCCAGTCAGGTGGTTGCTGCATTAACTTCTCCACAAAACTGCCTTTCAGATAAATCTCTCTTAATACTGTCCTTACATATAATTCTTTATTTTCTATGTATTCATTTGTAGTAATTTTGTTTATCACATTTTCTTGCATCTGGCATTTATTAAAATTATTTTGAGAATATATTAAATGTCAAGTATGGTTCCAGGCACTTGGAATATGACAGTGAACCGCCACACTTCCCTTGCCCTCAAGAATCTTAGCATTTCAGGAGAAAGACCAAATGAAGACCAGGGAAGCTTTTGTCCTTACCCTGTTTACCCCCTTCCAACCGTTTGCAAACCAAAAATTTTGATTTGCATCTAAGAAAATGAACATTTCTGGCTTGTTCTCAAATCTGCAGCTACAGGGGTCTTCTCCGTTTCATCCAGAGTATCTGCTTGGCCGCCACCATGTCTGACATCTATTTTACTTCTTTTCAGTTGAGCTCTTTATTTCATTGAAGAATGACATTGAACCATACATTGTACCTTTCCTCTGGTAGTCTATTCAGAAAAGTTATATTGTTGCTGGCAAAGGAAATCAGCGTTAAACAATTCACACCATTTAAAAAAATATTTTAAGTTGACAGAAGGGAAGAAAAGTAGCTCTAAACTAATGAAAATCTAAATTGTTCTGTAATAAACGAATTGATGATAGTTGATCCTATTTGGGATAACAAGATTATATAATTTTAACTTAAGGGAAGTTAATGAATTAATTAATTAATTGACTTGACCACTAACTTCTGGTTCTTTCACAATTCAGGAAAATGTCTCTCATTATATAACTTGGCTTCTTTTGTTTATGGGAAATTTTTGTGTCCAAAATTCCATTCTATGACTTAGGGAATGTTTGAGATCCCCTCTGGTAGTTCAAATTGTGTTTCAATGGCACATCAAGATAGTAAAACATCTCGTCTTGTAAATCATTGCAAAATTTGTGGCTAATGGTCACAGAAGGGGCAAGATATATTTGAAGTATTGCAAATCAGATTCTCACAGTGTTCAAAATGAATCCTAAGATTATAAAGCCATAGCACTACATCAAACCTGAATAACGAAATAAAATATTTATTGAAGAATAGGAAAACCTACTCACTTTAACCGACAAGATGTCTTTGTGTCATTTTTTCTCCTTCATCTTTTTCTTCTTTATTCCATCATTCCTACCTGCTTATTCTGGCTTGGTTTAAGAACGCATAGAAGAGAATAATAAAGAAAATATGGTTTACTTCATCTTTTCCAGTGTTGCTATTGCAAACCAGAGCCAGAAATGATACTCCTCCTTGCTCAATTTTCAAAAACAAATCATAACATTATAGAAATTATTATCTAAATGCTTATTATATTACACAATCTTATAAGGAACTTATTTAATCCTTACAAGAGTCCCATGAATGATCACATTTTACAAATGAGAAAATTGAGGACTAGATCACATTATAATTTTTTCCAAGATCAAAGCTATAATTGTATTGTAACTATGAATTTACTAGTTGCAGGCTTTTACACTTCTGGTTTCATAAAGGGGATTATACTCAATAAACACAGCTACTTAATACCCAACTACAAAAATTCAGAGGTTAGAGGTTTTTGTGTTCCTGCAAAGTACGAGATACTATGTGCTGTGATCATCTCAAACAGAGCAATATTCCAAAGAACACTCAGTTTCAGAGCAGAGAGACGCGCATTGATTTTACGGCAAGGCAGAACAAACTATGGGGAAATATAGAAGTCATAGTCATTTATGAGAAAGGCACTTAGGAAGGTTTATGGGCTCAAGTAAGGCTTCCTGGGGACAGTGACATCAGAGCTAGGGTTTGAGGGATGGGTAGGTAGTGATGAGAAGAACATGGATTGGATCAAAGAAGTGAAAGGTGACATCCAGTCGTACTACAATGCTATTGTCACTTTTAATCTTATAATGAGTACAAGGTCAAGGCAATCACAAGAAAACAGATAGAAACTGCCATGTTTAGTTTTGCTTTGGATTGACTGGAGAAGGGAAGATTAATTAAATGGGGCACATGCTTTTCTCTTTTTCTTCTTTTTTTTCTTTTTTCCCTGATCCAACCCTTTGACTCTTAAAATATTGAATAATATCCAACGATGAAATATCCAATGATTATTGTAGAGGTGAACACTCTTCCCTTGAGGAAATAGCTTCCCTGTTGATAGCTTTATTCAAAATCACATAATTTCACTCTGTGAAGGAATATAATGCAGAGTTTATAGGTCAGACTTAAAAAACCAGAATGCTTGGATTGAAATCCTGACTTTAACTATTGTCTTTTAGCAAGAATCTTTACCTCTTTTTGCCTCTGTGTTCTCATTTATAAAATGGGCATACTACTAATGCCTAAGATGTAGAATTTTGTATTTATGGAATAAGAGAAACATAAAAAGTACAATGTCTAGTACATTGTCAGCACTCAGTAAATATTAGCTTATTGCTATTCAATTGCAAAACTACCTGGGACTCAACTCAAATATTCAAGCAAATAGAATCTTCATCTAAACGGGTACATGAAAGGTCTTGGAAACACAGAGGCAATAGCTTGATTTTGGATATGGCTTATTTGGAGATTAATGTAAATCCAAAGAAAAATGTTCAAGAGAGTATAGGCAACTCACACTCTATCTGGGATGTTAAGAGTTAGCATTCCAACAGTGGATATGGCAGGATGGTAGAGTTGTTCAGGCTATGGCAGAAACCATGGTCAGAACAATGTTTGTGTAATAACCAAGGGTGGTTGGCAGGGATGGGCATAAATTTAGTGGGACCCTAACAGGAATAATAAGAATATAGGGAAGCCTCTTCTAGAATATTAAATAGATCAAGTCTCAGTAGGAACCAGAGCCAAATTAGATACAAAAGCATCATGTTGTACTATTGACTGTGAAGTCACTAAAGGATATAGAAGTTTTCATCCTAATCAACACAAGGGTATACATTATACCATGAGGCCTGTGAGAACTCACAACTTAATAAGATAAATGAAAAATGAGTGTCTTGGATTGGCTTGCTCACTCCAGGTATACCAGTTGCCTTGGGTAAGAAATATACCTTCTAATTCTCTGTTATCTCAAATATAACACAAGCTTGGTAATACATATTTTACAAGGTTGCTGTAAGGATGAGAAAAGATAATGTATTAAAAATTATGCAAATTTTGAAATGTAGTAACAGAAATTTTGTTGTAGTTATTGTATTATTTTTATTCCTTTGTATCTCTTCAGTGTTCGTTCTTATTCTACATGTCTCTTCAGAGGAGAATCTTGTGAAGATTTTCTATGTTCTAAAGTGTTTTTTTCTTAATATATCTGGGAACCCTCTTGTTTTTAACCTTACTTTACATACATTTTATTGACTCCAGCAGAATGTTTTTAACCCTCCAAAAATCTTCTCTTACTTGGGAACTGTCATCTCTACTGTAGATATCATGCAGCTATTTGAGAAGTATTTAAAAACTTCAGTCTGAGTTAGAAGCACTGTTAGGTCAGTGTGCTTGTGTTGGGGAAAAAAATTAAAAGCTGGGCACTGACTACTTATTTTTCATTTGGAATTGCAATGTCAGAATCACTGTGGTAAGAGTTTGTTTTGCCTTAACTGAATGAAGTCATCTATTCATATTCACCCATTTATATTTACTAAGGTAATTTTCACTTATTTCAACTCAGAAGACCTTCCCTTCTTTTAAGCTCAACAAAAGATTTTAATTTACTTTGGATCCTGCTGTCATTAGAAAATTTATCTTTGAATAATAAGCAATATGCTAATCATGGAAGACTGTTCTTACAGGATGATCATTTCATGACCTCCAAGTTGAAAACTCACTTAAGCTAAAAGCATTGATGGTACATTTTTATTTAGTTGTTTTCCTCTGTATAAATACTTCACAACTAACATCCTCTGGTGGATGGCTTTATTAATATACAACATTGGTTCAGACACTTGATTAAATTCTACTGGCCTGAGGATAAAAATAAACCATTGCCTTTCCACGAACCACATTTACCTATTTATTCAGCGGCAACGGCACTCACACTTTTCTAAACAGCCTATGGAGTATTATTTGTAAGCTAAACATCATGTTTATAAAATGTAGCCTTTACTTTTGATTATTGTCTGAATTCTTGTTGGGAAAAATTGAACATTCTCATTTGATCTATGCATATAAAGTCATGACCAATATAAATGTGAAGGAAGAAATGTGCATGGTTGACATGTTACCACCCTCAAAATAACAAAGAATTATATTGAAACAGCAGGCTTTGACCTTTTCCCCCAATTACATACACATTTTATTTTTGGATACATATCCCCAACTTGCTTTCCCAAAAGGCAGCTTTAATTCACATTCTCACCAGCAGATTTTATTATGCTGGTTTCCGCAGATTTTCAGCAGTGGGTGTTTTCAGTCTTTAAAACCTTTTCAAATCTGAGTTATGAACGATAAATCTCAATGTTGCATTTATTTGTTTTTAAAGCAAATATTATGAATGAGACTATGTATTTACCACCATGTTTATTCATTAATAAGTTTTCTTACACTGTGATTTCCTTACTTACAACTTTTGCCCATTTTTCTTTAGGGGTGTTAGTCTCTTACCTATCTTTTATATTAGGCCATTTCTACACTTTAATAGGTAATTGTGTTTCATAACTTATTACATGCTCAGCAGGATTTCACTTTTAAAGCAAAAGGTCTGGTTAGGTATGTGATAGGTTCTTCAGAGTTACGAGTTCTTTACAAAGGAACAGGCTCAAAATTCTGGCTTGAGACATTTGAAATATTTTTTCCCATATGAAACATAGTAATATATGGTTATAGGTCTCTCATTGATCAGGAATTTTAAGTACTGTGACAGGATTTTTTTTTTTTTGTAGTTTTTGTTTTTCTAAGTGCAGGTATACACAAGTGGATAATTTATAATTTTTAGTTAATGAAACTCATCATTGGTTCACACATAGTCTATTTTTATTTAGAGATTTATTTACTTATTGTTAAAAATGCACTGAACAATCATGAAGTCACTCCTATAAATGAAAACTAGAACTTGACAATTATCTCTAATTTTCTCCCTCCATTCCATTCACCTGCCTCTGACTACGCAAGGCAACCAGCACTTTAAATACACTACTTCTCGTTTTTATATAGTCATATACCAATATGCATCCTTAAATGTATATTCTTTGGTTGTAGTTATGTTTTAAAAAAAACTTTAGACAAATTAAACATAACAGAATCGATTAGAGCAAAGAACAAGCCATGAATTGAACAGTACTGAGATCCAGAAGCAATTTGGAGAGCTCTGCTCAGCAGTATGAGGAGTGTGCTTTACTAGGCCAAATACAGAAGCAAATTAGAGAAACCACCTGATTAGCTACAGGTGGGCATCTGACCTTTTGAGCATGGTGTAATGAGCTGATTGCTTGTGATTGGATGAAACACAGCTGCTTGTGATAGGCTGAAACTTGGCTGTTTGTTATCCTTCTAAATTAGGTTTCAGTTTCTTACATACTAAGTAAATTAGTGATATGTTTTAGCTGTGTTTCCACTCAAATCTCATCTCAAATTGTAATCTCCATAATTCCCACCTGTGGAGGGAGGGCCCTTGCAGGAGGTGATTGGATCCTGGGGGGTGATTTCCCAGATGCTGTTCACCTGCTACTGAGTGAGTTCTCAGGAGATCTGATGGTTTTATAAATAGCAGTTTCCCTTAGGCTTATCTCTTTCCTGCCACATTGTGAAGAAGACGCTTGCTTCTTCTGCGCTTTCTGCCATGTTTGTAAGTTTCCTGAGGCCTCCCTAGCCCTGCGGAACGGTGAGTAAATTAAACCTCTTTCCTTTATAAATTAACCAGTCTCAGGTAGTATCTTTACAGCAGTGTGAGAATGGACTGATACAATTAGGTTGCAATTTTCTACATAGGGACTCAAGGGATGGAGGCTGACTCAGGCCAAATTTGATTTAACAGTTGCTTGTAACTTTATGAAATGTATCATTATACTATATGCAATATTTATGGGAATGTGTGTTTTACCTACCTTTTGTTTTAAAGATTCATTTAATTTTTTTCTCTCCAGGCAATTTAAAAAATCAGTCTTTTAGAGTGACAGAGTATTCTGTACTTCCAAATGTTACTCATTTTAATACTGAGATTTTAAAAAAACAGCAGTGATTATAAGTTCAGAGAATCACTGAGAGGATGTCATCACAATAAGAACTGATTTTTTATTTGGCTGTAGTGATTTTTCTTGTTTCCTCAAACTCGTGAAAGTAGCCTTTATTTTGCTTATTACTTTTATTCAAACAAGAGCTGGCTAAAATTGAGAGACTAAAGAATAATGTTCCCAACCAAGTGTTTTAATCATGCTGCCCAGAAACCCCTCTCTGTTTATGTAGACTGCATTCCTACTTCACACAAACAAGGTTATAATTATTGGAGACACCTTTATAGTGTTAAACTTTTGTAATTAGCCTTACACTAGGCATATTTTTTCTCACATTTACTTTAAGCAAACTATGTTTTAAAAATCTATTAAAATCTGACACATATGGGACTTTGAGCCCGTTTATTTGCTTAATTTAATTTGTTCTAATTAGGAAGTGAACACCAATTAAATAAGTATTAATTGATTGTGAGACATCTGTCTCTCAGAAGTAGAGCTGTAACTATAGTGCTGATTATCTTTTTTTCATCCTTCCCATGATAGCCATAATACCAAGTTTTGTAATGAGAAATAATCTTAATAATCACATAGTCCAGTGGTTTTCAATTCTGCCTGTATATTAGAAACACTGGGGAGTCATTACCCTGCCAGAATTATATTTATAATGATCAGAAACTGGAACAATGCAAATTACTATCAATAAGTTAATGAATAATTCTGTGATATAATAAAGTGGAATATTACCCACCAATGAAAATCAGCATATTGAGTCACAGAAGCTAGACACAATAAAATACGTACTGTATGACTCCATTTATACAAAGGTCGAGAGTAGGTCAAATTAACCTATTATTGGAGAAATGAGATAGCTGTTCGGGGGAAAGAGAAGGGAGTATTAACTGTTAAAAAGCAAAGGGGAATTTTCAGAGAAGATGAGAATATTCCAAGTATTTTCTAACATTTTATTATGAAAACTTTCAAATATACAGCAAAGCTGAGAGAATTTTACAATAAATATCCATGCCCAAGATTCTACCATTAACATTCTACTATGATCCTTTTGTTACAAAAGTATCCACTTATCCATAATTTTACCCATCCATGCATAAATTACTTTTGTGTATCTCAAAGTAAATTGAAGATACTAATATAGTTACCATTTGTTTATCATTTATTACCATTTACTACCATTGGCAATCAGCATGCATATCATTAGAGTTCGATACTTTAGTTTTTTTCCTTTTGAGTAATATTTATATGCAACGAAATGCCCAAATGTTGTTTATATTTACAGAGTTTGGACAAATGAATACACCTGTGTAATCCAAACTCCCATGAAGATACACAACATTCCTATTATCACAGAAAATTTCTTTATGCTCTTTCTTGGCATTGGCACTCTCAATACCCCCAGAGGCAATCATTGTTCCGGCTTGTTTGCTCAATAGATTATTTTGCTTGTTCTATACTTTCATACAAATGTAATAATACAATATGAAATTGTGTCAAGCTTCTTTCACTCTTCTTGAGATTGATTCATGTTGATATATGTATTTGCAATCTATTTTTGTAATGGTGAGAAAGTCCATTGCATGAATATATCAGCATTTTATATACACTTCTATTCATGGACACTTGAAATGTTTCAAGTTTGTGCTGCCATAAAAACAGCTTCTTTGACCAATTTTGTACAAGTCTTTTTTTGTGAATATATGTTTTAATTTTTATTGGAAAAATATCTACAAGTAGGAGTGTTGGTCACATCATTGGCACAAGTTTAATTTTACAAGAAACTGGCAGACTTATTTTCAAAATATTTGTCTTTTTAAATCTTTCCACTAAAAATGTGAGTTTCAGTTGCCCAAGAATCCCCCAAATATGTAGTTTTATCAGTCTTTTTAACTTTTATTCTGGTGGGAATGTAGTGACATTTCGTCGTGATTATAATTTTCATTTCCCTAGTAATAATTTGAGTACTTTACTTTTTTTCCATGTGATCATTGGTTGTTTGTATATCTTTATCCATTTTGTTAATTTTTTACTGGATTAATCTTTTTTATTCAGTTGTAGAAATACGTGTTACATAATTCCTTTCTTGGATGTATATTTTGGAATATTTTCTCCCTGTTAATTATTCTTTTAATATCATTTTATGACCAGACATTTTTAATGAGTTTATCAATTTTTTACTTCCACAGTTATTTTCTATGCATTTCTAAAATATGTTCATATATTTCTAATTCATGAAAATATTCTTTGACGTTTTATTCTAAAAGCCTTATGTATTAGGTTTAGAACTATTGTCTATCTTGAAATTTTCTGTATGATGTGAGGTAAGAGTCAAGGCTCATTTTCTTCACATGGGTATAATGTTTTCTCTGCATCATTTGGTGAAATTTTCTTTTCTCATTGCGTTATTTTGGTGACTTTAACAAAATCAAATGACAATAGAAATATTTCTAGGGTTTCTAAGTCTTGGAATCAGGTAATACAAATTTTCCAATATTGTTCTTTAAAATTGCTTTTGATATTCTGTATCTAAATTTTGATATATTTCATAAAAATATTTGAATATGTACAGAATCATAGCATCAATGAAGAGAGATAAATTGACTCCTTTTCCTATTTGGATGCCTTTTTTTTCTTTATCTTGCCTGACTGCTCTGGCTAGGACTTCCAATACTATGTTGAATAGCAGTGAGTGGGCATTATTGTCTTGTTAGAGTTCTTGAGAATGCTTCAGGCTTATGCCTGTTAGGTATGATGTTGGTTGTGGGTTTGTCATAGATGGCTCTTATGAAGGTCTAATATCCAGAATCCATAGGGAACCTAAACAGTTCAACAAGCAAAACATAACTATTGAAAAGTGGGCAGCACACATGAACATACACTCAAAAAGAAGACATATAAATGGCCAACAAACATATGAAAAAATACTTAACATTATTTATTAGAGGAATGCAAAACAAAACCACAATGATAAAAAGTCAAAAATAACAGACACTGATGAAGATGAAGAGTAAAGGGAACATTTATTTCTGATGGGACTGTATACTTTTGTAGTTCTCTGGTTATTTAGGGAATGTAAATTAGTTCAGCCACTGTGGGAAGCAGTTTGGAGATTTCTCAAAGGACTTAAAAATAGAACTACAAGTCGACCCAGAAATCCCATTAGTGGGTATACACCCAAAGGAACATTGTTCTACCAAAGGTATATGTTCAACCTAGCACTGTTCACAATAGCAAAGATGAAGAATCAACCCAGTTGGCCATTAATGGTGGCTTGAAAAGAAAATGTGATATGTGTGTGTGTGTGTGTGTGTGTGTGTGTGTGTATGTATATGTATATATCTCATATAATACACCGTGTATATATAATGTGATACATATATATATCATTATGTGATAAATGTGATCTATATATCACACACATATAGGTATTTATATACATATATATACAAACACATATATACACACACACACACCATGGAATACTACACAACCATAAAAAAAAATCATGTCCCTTTGCAGCAACATGGATGCAGCCAGAGGCCATTATTCTAAATGACTTGATTCAGGAACAAAAAACCAAATACCACATATTTTCACTCATAAGTGGGAAGTAAGCATTACATACACATGGACATAAAGATGGGAATAACAGACACTGGGGACTAGTAGAGATAGGAGAGAAGGAGGCAGGCAAGGGATGAAAAACTACCTCTTGGGTAGTATACTCACTACATAGGTAATGGGATCATTTGTGTCACAAATCCTAGCATCATGCAATACATCCATGTAACCAACCTGCACATGTACCCCCTAATTTAAAATGACAGTTGAAATTTTATGTTAAAGTTTGTCAATTATTTCAAAATATTTTTTGGGATTGCATTGAATCTACAGATTACTTTTTGAAGAACTGACATCTCAACCATGTTGAAACTTCCAGTCAATCCACATATTTAGCTTTTAAATTTCATTTATCAAAATGTAGTGTTTGGAATATAGGTATTGCACATCATTTGTTACCCTTGTTGTTAAGCATGATTTTTTGGAACCTATTGTAAATAAATTTATTTTAAAATTTTATTCTTCAGTTTCTGCTGGCAGTATACAAAATACAATGACTTTTGTATATTAATATTGTACTCTGTAGCATTAATTTATGTATGCTTAGTAGTTTTTATACTACACAGGAATTTTACGTACAAAATTATGTGCCAATAAGACGGTTTCATTTATTTTAGATCTCTAACTTTTATTTCCTCTGTTTCTTATTGCAATGGCTTTTACCTACAGCATGATATTGAGTAGGAGGGGTAAGAGTGAGCATCCTTGTTTGGCCAATTATTGTGGGAAAGTATTCAATATTTTACCTTCATATGTGATGCCAGCTGTTTTCTCTAAATGTTATTTACCAATTTGCTAATAATTTTAAAATTATAAATTGGTATTTTATATAAAATCTTTGCGTCTTTTGAACTAATCATACAGTTTTTCTCCTTTATTCCTTTGTAATAATGATTTACATTAATAAATTTTTGAATGCTATAACAGTCTTGCATTCTTGGCACATCCACTAACTTTTCCTCATAATATATCTGTTTATATATTGCTGACTTTCATTTGCTTGTATCTTAGTAATAGT